AGAGGTACCACTGTAGTCTTATACGCAGGAAAATAAGGTACTTGCAATTATGGGCAGACTACAGCTTAGTGAGGCAAGTAGTTCCAAAACCAATGGATCACATATTCTGTCAATTATATATATATATATATATATATAGTTCCCAAGCTGGGCTGCTCAAAGGGGAAATGCTGTGCTTGAGAAGCCTGGGTTGCTGAGGGGCAGAGGAAGGTAGTTGCTAAAGTTGCCCCGCTTGGCACCTGAAATAGTCCCATCCTCACCATGTTGCTGCTTGCATCACTGATGATGTGCAGATGATTGACATGCATTTTGAAGCGGCGAAAACTAGTGGGAACAACAATCATGCCCAAAAAGAAGTGATTACAAGTGAATAATGAAAAGATTTGCTTCCATAGTGGGAATGACAGACTTTTTGGAATCAATTCACTGACACAGAGCGAAGGCGAATTGCAAACTGGTTTAAATGTATAAGTGGGAGCGAGCCCTTTGAATAGTATCTATCTCATATCAAGTGAGCCAGTGTGGCATAGTGGTTTGAGCGTTGGACGAGGGCCCTAGAGACCAGGGTTCGATTCCCCACTCAGACATGAAACCCACTGGGGGAATTTGGGCAAGTCACATTCTTTCAGCCTCAGAGGATGTCACTGGCAAACTTCCTCTGAACAAATCTTGCCAAGAAAACTCTAGGATAGGTTGCCTTAGGCTCGCCATAAGTCTGAAATACAACAAACATCTCACCTCTCTTTCTCATACACACACACCCCTCATATGTATAGCATGTATCATATCTATCTAATATGTGGATATATATGTCTCATACACACACACCTGTGTGTGAGAGAGAATGAGAATGATGGCTCCTCACCCTGTTTGCTCAAAATGTGCATTTTCTCTTTTGTTTTTGGATTAATGATAATGTCTGTCCTGTATCCGAAAATGTCTCTCATCCCACACTACGCTTTTAGCTGACTGCATATCTCGCCCTTTGTAAAAAAAGAGGTCTCCATCCAGCTGCAAGAATCAAAAACCTGCAAACTCATTGGGGGGGGGGGGGGGTGAGGAGGAGGAGGTGAGACTCAAGAAGTAAAGCTTCAGAAAAGCGACTGCTTTGAAGCCTGAAAAGAATGGCGCCCTCCCTTGAGAGCCCCTGACCTCGGCCTCCGCCTCTTCCCATCCCAAGGAGGGTCACCAATGTCCTCCTCGCCGCCAAGGAGGACCAGGCACTGCAAAATGGAGGGCATTCCAGAAAAAAAATTAAAAGCTAACAACACATCTATATAAATCTAAATGCAGGCTTCTTTTCCATGCTCAAAACAGAGGACCTTTGGGGATCCCTCCTGGACGGAAGGCAGAAATGGAGGACAAGTCCTGGAAAAGGAGGACACCTGGTCACCCTGAATGTAGGACATTCAAGGAAAACGGAGGGGTTGACTAAATAAAAACTGAACACTCTCCTATACTGATATTGATAAACCCATGCTTCTGAGTCCTGCTGCTCCAAATGGGGGGAACCTTTAGGATCCCTCCTGGACAGAAGGCGGAAAAGGAGGACACTTGGTCACCCTGAATGTAGGACATTCAAGGAAAATGGAAGACACCTGGTCACCCTGAATGTAGGACGTTCATGGAAAACGGAGGGGATGACTAAATAAAAGCTGAACACACTCCTATATTGATGCTGATAAACCCATGCTTCTGAGTCCTGCTGCTCCAAATGG